TCTTATACCATCTTATATGGGCCTGCTTGATTGCATAAAAATTGATTAGATAGATTAGGTAAGTTCTCATACTACATAGTTTTATTTTATTTTCAAGGTTTTAATTGAAGATTGGATAAGTATTCATACAAGCAATATAGGTGATATTGGTTACAATACTACATACCAGTTAATATTACATACTGTGGTTTTCCTCAATCTAAAGTTGATTGCACAAAGATTGTATGGTCAGATTGTAATGTGTACGGTGACTCTTAAATGTACTGCCTTTGGTTATACTTGAATCTCAATAACAGGAACACAGATAGCAAAAGGCATAAAAACAAAACAAAACAAAACAAAAAAAAAAAACTGTCCCCAAAATACAGTTCTGCATGGTGCCAACGTTTGCTAAGAACCCTGTCTATCTTTGACATTGTTAGGGAGTCTTTGTGCAGGACAGGGTTGTGATCCTGAGCAATAAAAAACTTGACATTGACCCCCTACCACTGTATCTAAATAGAAAAAGATTTAGGTACACTTTAAATGACAGGAATTAAAAAAAAACCAAAAAAAAAACAACAAATCAGGCTCAGAACTCAAGAGAGCCCTGCAGCACCTCTGTACATGTGTCGGATTTCCTGGACATCATGAAGTCCGATGCACATGCAAAGACTGGCAACAGGGAAGTCGAAGAAAATCCCAGGCAGATGCACCAACAGCCTCTGTCAAGACCCAGGGCCAGGCAGAACCTGTGAGTGTATCTGCACAGGAGCAATAATAGCAGCGATGGAAAAGGGTAGGTAAGCCAGTACAGAGGACTGAAGTTCCACTTTAAATCAGAAACAGTCACAAAAAGATTTACTGGAGAGTGCAAAATCTAGTGCAGCTCTGCATAGAAACCAGTTTCAAGATTTTTTTTTTGCCAAAGCTTAATTAGAAAAGCTGGTTAGAAGCTAATTGGCTACCATGCACAGATTCTGAATGCACCAGTTTTAGTAAATCTCCCCCAAAATCCTTTTACACTTAAAATGTAAGTTCTGTCTGAAACCAGTTAATATATTATGCAAGCTATTTTACTTGGCAAAGGAGCATACTTATAAGCTCATCTCTCCTACCAGCATGGCTCCTTGCACTGCAGCACACCTGCCTGGCCCCTTTTGCTGTGCTACTCTGTCCCACTCTCTGAGTTACGATGTGTAGTAGACTGCCAAAGGAAGATACCAAGTCAAATGTAGGTTCTTAACTACTTGCATTTTAAAAATACATTTAATCCATGGAGACCGGCATCACACATATATGTGGTGTTATGGACATAGGCCTTCTGAAGGCAATGCGTATATGTGCATTTGTGTTTGTGCAGGAAGTGCACTACATAGCACGCTCCCAGCACAGAGACCGAGCTGTTGCTGCCAGCTGCGGGTCTCATACTAACAACAATCAGGAGGCGAAAGGACCAGCTCCCAATTATATGATATCAGCGATAGCCTGTTCTTGGATTAACAGTGATCACTCTCCTTTGAATAGAGAAAGAGATACAGTAAAGGGAATTCACCAAGATTGGAGCACAGCTGTTTCAGTTTCTGTCTGCTCAAGTTTTAGTAAATTGCTCCCATTAAAATGTTTTTCTCCTCGCAAGAGAAGACTAATGTAAACAAGAAAAAAAAATGTGTGAGAAAAAAAAAAATAAAAGGAAAAAATATATATTTTTTTAGTGTCTGTGTTTAGGTAGGATAAAAAACAGCAAATGCGCACTATTGTTTCTTGGCCCTACTACAGGTACAAACAAACAATATTAGTGTTTTTATTGGTGGGTCATTGTAATGACAAGAAATATCCATCTAAAGTAGCTAAAATCGTAATTTTATTCTGAATAAACAAAGTCAAATGCAACTGTAATGATCTCATTAAAAAGTACAAAATAAAATTAAGAAAAAACAAAACAGACACCATTATTTCAATCATTATATTAAAAGTAGTATACAGAAAATAAATAGACATGTAAAACATTTTTTAAAAATACATTTAAAACATTAAGGAGACACTGTCACCTTGCCTATGAAGAGCAAAGTGACACCTGAGTCAATTCAAAAGACACCCCCCCATTCCCCTCAATCGATCTCCTTAGGCTACATTCACACTGGCAGCTTAGGCCGGTACAAACTGTAGCAGCGGCTCTGAGTAGCTAGGCGCAGCTGCTGGCCCTGTTCACTTTAATGACAGGTTACCAGAAGCAGAAGCAATTAGTGGCTCTCTGCACAACCAGTGATCTTTTGCCTAAATTGCCAGTGTGAATATAGCCTTATGCTCTCCTTCCTCATTTACCCTTTATGCGCTGAATCCAGCAAAACTGCATAGTACTTCTGAGTAAGGGGGAGCATGTGAGCTCCTGCCCTCCGACACTGCTTAGGTTTAGCAGTCAACCACTAAATCAGAACACTGTAATATGACTGAAGGAAAGATTTCACTACTCCCCTGGGTCACCTCCCTTATGATCTCAGTGTAGACTGTGACAAGGGAGGAACGCTGAAAGAACACAGGCAAAGGGGTGTATAAGGGGATCAGAGAGGCTCTTTGCAAAGAAACAATCAACTTTGCCTTTGATGAGCAAGGGAACAGTTAGGTTAATATACTAATAAAGTAGGCTAAGTTCACTTTTAAAATTAATTTTTACTTTGCAAAAGGAATTTTCACTTACCTTAGTAAATGAGGTGAAACAAAGTGAAAGCTCACTTTGCAAACTATATCCAATCATGTACCAGAAAATTAATTTTTACTCCCATGTTATGTGCCGACTTCAATCATCCAATCATGTGCAAAATAAAAAAATTCAGTTTTTTTTATTTTCCTTGTACATGATTGCGGATTTTTTTTACAATGTAAATTTTCACTTTGGCTTTTCACTTATTTTGGTGAATAAGGCAAAACATTCCGAAAAGTGAACGTGCACTGTTCCATTAGTAAACCAGGGTCAGAGTATTTATAAATATTATGTAAAAAAATTTGCTTTTAAACTGAAAATAATAAGAACAGCTATACAAACAACAAAAGAAGTTCAAATGCAAAAACGTATTATTAAGCTCTACAATGCCCAATGAAGCAAGTGGAAACATCTTTGTTAAATGTATTCGGAAAAGGAATCCAAAGAACAATGATGATGTAAAAAGTAAGATAACCCATTTAATGTGATCTGACTACTATAAAGTGAAATCTGACAGCTATGTATAGCACACCACTGTTTGCACTGCCTTTTAAATAGGGTATTAGTGCAGAAAGTAAAAGATTAGAACATTCATTTTTTTATACTGCAGATATACAAGACTTTACCAAAATGTCACAACTATACAGGTAAGTATATGAACTTTGCCCTTTAAGTCATTGCCTTACCACCTTGAATGCAGCTCACCTGTTCTGAAATTTTTCCCTCCGCCTTTACAGCAATCTTCACTAAGCAGCCCTGCTTGGAGTCGCACAACCATTCTTCAAGAAGAATGCACTCAGCAGCCATAATTACTATTATGGGGATAGCTGTATTCTGCAGAACCGCTGTTGTCTGCAATGAGAACAGCACCCCATGGGAATGAATTGGGCCACAGAGCAAATGCACAGGACGTAAAGTACAAAGTGAGGATACTTTCTGAAGAAAGGCTGTGCAGCTCTGACCAGGGCTGCACAGTGAAGATTGGTGGTGGTAAGTATCAAGACCAGGTGGCTGCATTCAGGGCCATGTCTTAAAGGTCAACTTGTACAAAAGGCACAGTAGCCTTTTAATTTTCCCCTGAATAGTGAAAGGATTCAACATTGACAATATTTTTACATACAATGGGTATAAGGTATATATGTTTTTGTATGTGACTTTCCCTGTTAGTCCTACACAACATGGTATTAAAGTTACTTTTGGTTTACATACTTTACAAAAGGACATATTTATGGAGCTATGCCTGTTTGTAATCTATTCGAAGGGCCTGTTCCAAAGGTAAGGGGTGGGGCGGTTTAGCTATTGTCTGTATTTTATATTTTTGCAAAATCAAATAAATAGTATAAACAGACTGTAGATGGCTGGAGAATGTCTACTGCATTTAGATTTTAATTTTATTAATAGTAGCTGGCAGACAGAGAACAACTGTCATAAGTTTTAGCATGCTGGTTACCATCCAAAGCTTAACTGGATCAAGGTCATCAAGAAGCCTAAAAAAGGCTCAAGTTTTGTTTGCACAGGCACTAAATGCAGGAAACCAGCCCAAACCCATTTTATTGGGTCTGCATTCAAAGGACTGGGAATGAAATAGATATTAATAGCCAGACGCTGCCTAAACATTGTATCCAACACTTGGGTCAAAGCAAAGCAGAGGCAAGCAAAGCCTACCATTCATGGCAGAGTGCAGGACAAGAGCCACAACTAAATGCCAGATGTCCATCTGAACAAGGGCTTAGAACTTGTATATGTAGAAGGAGCAGAAAAAAGGGTGTATTGTGGTGTCTTAGAAGCGCTAACATTGCATTACCCTTTTCCTGTCCAGAACTGTATTGTGTCCTGCAATTTCTGCTATTGATGATTTCTCATGGTGTACAATTCTAAAATAGTCAACAAAGTTAAAGTGCAAGTTCACCTTCAACACATTTTACAAAAATTCAGTGTGCTTTCTTATTCTCTAGCTGCAGCATGCAGTTTGAATGGCCCAGAGCAGCTACAATTATAGCATCAAGCCTATCTGGCAAAAAGCAGGAAGGAATGAAATCAAGCGGACATCAGTATTCATCTGCATGGGTTTTTTTTTTTTAAATATTGCTGAAGGTGAACTTACACTTTAAAAGGAATTTTACACTAGTTAGAATTCTTATGCGATATATTTTATTTAAAAAAAAAAAACAAACTAGTGTAATGGAGTTCAGTCAGTAAAAGATATTTGAGGCAGAAAGCTGATAAAAAGTGGGTCTATTATGTTGTATTTGCTGACTAGACAGACATTAAGTGATGGCAAATGCACTTTGATCCTTTGGGCATTTTCTCCGCTTCATATTTATTTCCTTCGCCCACTCAGGCTTTTCAGTTCTTCTAGCTCTTTTTCCTTAAGGTGCGATTCTGCAGTGGTCTCTGAGAGCTGTTACAAAAATATCAAGAGATGTAAGACATACATAATCTGTGAAATGTTTTTATTTCTCAAGTAAAGATATTGTCACAAGGATAAGAACATTGGTATCTGTTGTTAATTTCAAGATCTGGCTAGCTAATTGCTGGTGAGCACTAAAAGGCTTATTCTAACCTACACACTTGTTTCAGGAGTCTGCATCATACATTTTTAAAGTGATTGGCAAAGGGAGAAGACCAAAGTGGCAGCCTCCCCAGTATTTCTATAAAGCCTGCTCCCAACCACCTGCCTTCTCAGGCTGTGGCTGAAAGCTGTATCCCAGGTCCCTTGCCTTCTGTGGCAGGAGCATGTACATTCAGTAGGCTAGCTCACTACAATTTAATAGTTCACAATGGAGTTTCTCTCACTCTCCCACTGGTGCCTACATAGGCAAAGCCAATTTCTACAGTCTCCCACGCAATAACAAAGTGCTGAAATACTGGTGTCCCTGCAGAAACATGTATTTTTCAGGCTTCCAGTATTTTCATGTTCCACTCAATATACATCAAGCCAATAAGATTCCAGGGAGTGCACTCCCTACAGTCTGGATTACAGCTAACGCAACAGCAAGTTCCTGCCAAGTGTGTCCTAGGGGACAAAAATACACTTAGGATAAGAAAAGATGGAACATTTTTGCACTTCAGTTCCTTGCAATTGTGGGTGAATTCATCAGCCAGGTGTCTGATCTGGAAAATGAACTAAAATAGTTTTTTTTGTTTTTTTTTTTCTTTTAATTGGTCTCTCACCATGTCTAGCAAGATGTCTACTTTCAGACGAAGCAAGTTATTTTCTTCCTCCAGCTGTACATTTCTCTTTCGAAGACGTTGGAGTTCTTTCTGTGAACCAGTTCCACCCGATTCTGTAATAATATATTAAAAGACTGAAAGGAGAACAAATAAAGCTAAACAGCAGGAAGAAAGAAAATTCTAGAAAATAGTGTAAACGGTGTGTAATCTGTGAACTCCATGATCTTTCCTCTTTAAGAAGTAATACTGTAATGGTTAAAAGTAAACTGAATTGCTGGTTAGCAGGTAGGTCTAAATTTTAAATCACGTAAATTTAACTCCAGTCAAAATATAAATTTTTTTTTTTTCGGTAGACCGAAGATGGCTGAAAATCTTCACAATGGCTGTCATCGTCGTCTGTAAAGGGAGGGGAAATCTCTCCACTTGAGGCACAGACGACAAAAAAAAAAAAAAAAAAGCACTTTTCTCTATTTCATTTTAAGAAGGAAAGGTTAGAAATTCTGGCAGCTTTTTTAATGCAGTAGGTGCCAGCATTAGGAAAATTCTTCTCCCCATATGTTTGGTCACTTAACTGGAAAAAAGCAGAAATCTACTCAGCAGGGACAAATCCAACAATAAAAATGTATCAGCTGTATTTAATTTGTCCACACTACATCAAAAGCAGAAAAGGTCTTTGCAGAAGTTGGGGTGTTAATTACATGAAAAGCCCAACTCCAAGAATCACAAATAAATACCCTTGAATTGGGTTCCACAGCACTACAATGGTTAAATGTTCAGATTCTAGGGAATGAAGAATAAGGTATAATACCTTCCCTTACTCCTTGATCCAACAAGCTCTGACACTCTCCTCTTCTCCTCTCCTCTGGCTTGTGCAGGCCCTTGCTGTCCTCATGTACAATTCAGGGCTATAAGTGCAGCATTGTACATGATAATAGAAGCACGACTACAACCTGTAATGCCTTATAGAAGAGGAATCAATCTCGCAGAGAGAGGGAGCCTGTGGGAGTAAAGAATGAGGAAGCCTATAGAGGAGTCCATTTTTTTTCGTTCAACCAGTGGCTTGCAGCGTGGATCAGGTGGGGAAAATCCAACAGGGTCATTGAACAGAAGACGATCGTTAGATATTTTTGTAATTCCCAGAGTTGGGTTTAAGATTTAATTTATGCATCTCAAAATTAATTTTAAACGTTGACCAAGATGTGTATGTGTTTAGCTAATTTGGTAGATTTCCAAAACTATTCATAACCCCAGAACTTTATAACCTCCTATTTCTGTACTTTTAACAATCCTACACATGGAATACAATGTAAATCTTTTATTTTACATGTTTTTTTTTTTTAAATAAAATACACTTAAAAGGAAATCTATGGTCTCAGCATACACTTTCATTTTATACCATCAGCATTGTAATAGCAATGTTAGTTATGTTTGACAATCCAATATAAATTTAAGCGAGAAGTCTTTTATGACGTGTGTGCTGCCTGTCTGCTGGCCATCTCTTTCAACAAATTCAAGGATTCCCTGCATGTTTTTCAGCTTCTCCTCTCCTGTTTACGAAGGACTACATATCCCATGGTACTTTGATTCCTGTTCTGACTCCGCCTCATGTACCTCCTCCTCTCAGCACTTCCGCAGTTCAGAAGGCAGGCTCTGTGAATTCTGTGACACAGCAAAGCCTACCCACGAGGCATAGTGAGCATGTGTCACAGAAGTAAATGTGTGGAGAGCTTCTCAAAGTAAGTTTAAAAATGTCAAGATCATCCAGATTAATAGAGTAAACTAGAAATAACTGTAATACATTACATGATTTTACATTTTTACTATAGATATACTTAACAGTATCTATATCAGTGTTATGTTTCTTATGTTACAATGTAGCCAACTCAGGCCAAAATGCTACCTTTGTATTGTGGTCTTGATGGAAATTTTCAAAACCTACTCTATTGTTTTGAAGAATCATAAAAACCTCCAATTTTTATGGAAATCTGAAAAAAAAAATCATAATTCCTTACCAGCTATCCACTGTCCATTTTCAAATTTTAAACTTTGACCGGCAATGCTAATACTTGGAGCACCATAATCTAGACCCAATTCCACTTCTTTGGTTGTTCGATCCAACTAGAAGACAAAAAAATAAAAAGGTTAATGTAGACCACAAGACATACAAAACATGAAATATTCCTAAACTGAACAGCTGGGAATATGAGATGGTAAACAGAGTTCAGTGTCACTCACTCGTTCTAGTAGATTCCTGGACGAAAATGATACACCATTCTGTATATAGATAATTCATACTGACAGCCTTGTTCTCTTCATAGCATGCTTTATGGTAAAGTGATATGGCTGGGAGGGAGAGCACTGATCTCTGTTGGGAGTCCTATCCACTGACTTTCTGACAGGTTGGTGGTTTAAGTGTGTTAAGCCATTGATTATTTAGATCTGTTTTGAGTAATGTCCCTAGGTTCCCAGCATCACATCTGACATGTTTCAACTGTACTAAAAATCTTTCTTAAGCAGAGATATGGATACACAGAGCGCTCCATATAATGAGCTTTTTTCCCTCCCGCTATTATCCCTTCAAACACTGTGCATTTTTAAAATGGACAGATTTGAAAAAGTTTATTTTTAAAATACACAGTGGTTTAAGGGTTAATGGCTAGAAGAGGTGGAAGAGTACATTATTTAGAGCGCTCTATGCATCTTCAGCTGTTCTTGAAAAAGATTGAAATGTGTCAGAAGTACTGCTTGGGAACCTGGTGATGTCAGTAAGAGCCACTCATCTAAACCGTACACCACTCAGGAAGTCAGCGACTGGGACTCAGAGAGGGCTTAGTGCTTGCCCTTTGAGCCATATTGCTTTACCATCAGGCATTCATTGAAGAGAACACAACTGTCAGTTTGGATCATCTGTATACAGAGTGGTGTATCATTTATACAGGAATATGCCAAAAAGAATTAGTGACACTGGATGACTGTTTACCATCTCATATTGCCAACTTTGCAGGGTTTTTTTTAACAGTATGTTCAACTCAATAAAGCGGATCACCCAAAAGGGAAAGTTCCACTTTTCCCCCACCCACCTCTGCCACATTTGGAATCATTTTTTGGGGGGTAGGGGGTGCACTTTAAGTGGATACACTGTAGCACTGGATATTCATACACTGTGGACATACTGATTGATTTTGCAGTTGGCAATGTTGGAATGAATAACAGCCTGTCCCTAATGGGGTCCCTCTGAAATAAGAAAAATGGAGTCAGGCTGCCAGAAAAAAAGCTTTACTCAAAAGATAAATTTTGGTGCACAAAGGAAGAAATGGAGTGTCTTTAAATCCAGAATGGAGTGAACGCCCTATTTTGCTTTGGGGACAGTGAACAAGTTTGAATAGAAACCCTGATACATTTCTTTTTCTGGGACCATGGAGAGAGAGGAAATGTGCTAGGGCAATGTGGCGTCTGCTAGTCTTTGTAGGGATATTGGAAGGTTCTACTACATAAGAAAGATAGAGGTGTGGTTAGAAATTCCAGCTTGTAGCACCAGGAAACCAGATCCTTTACGCAAGATGAGGTGGGTCCAGGTTGAAGCAAAGGCTAACAGATGAGCCTCAACCTTGAGAATTCTAGGGGTAAATGAAAAACTCTTCTTAGCCTAAGAGGGAAAAGATTTTCCAGTCGGAAGCTTAGTCTTTTTTTTTTTATGCTGGGGCATAAGGGTGGTTTTCCATCTGTGGTGTCCTTAATAATGTTATCCAGTGAGGCACCAAAGATGCGCTCATCATCAAAGGCCATGAGCAATAGGCCTTTTTTGCACTGATCTGCAATTTGAGCCAAAAGGGTCTTCCATATATACACAGATAGGAGGCTCATTATAGATATCAGGTATATGATATCTGATATCTGCCAGCCCATCAACAAAGTATTACAGGGCAGCAGGTATAAAATTCCAACTGTTAAGAGCAAAATGATCAGCAAGAATCGATTCGGGATTTCTAGACTTATTTTTGGACCCCACACAATGGGTCTGGCAGATAGATATGACAGCAATGCTCGGCTGAAGCAGGCCTTGCTAAGGAGAAAAAAAAAAACAAAAAAACCTTGGAAAGGGCTCCCAGTCTTTAATCTACAGGATCTTTAGACAATGGAATGTTCTCAACAGAAACAGTGGGGGTTTGGCCAGAACGGGAACAACCTACTTCTGAAGGAATTCCTTCTCAATGGACTACTGCTGAGCAAATTGCATGGGAGGAGTGAATAACTAATAATAATAGTGTGAGGATTAGACCACTCACCATGCAAAACAGGTTTCAGTAGCAAACTCTACAGACTCTAAAGCAGAATGTGAAGAAGCATGCTTACACCCTCAGCATTCCAAGTCAGTTAACCTGGAAGTGATTTTGGCCAAAAAAGGTTTACAATTCCCTGGCTAAACGCAGAGGAAGAGGTCACACCTGGGAAAGTTTGGGAAGAACAAGGAGTTCGAGGGATCCAGCAGAGGGCGAATATCCATGCTACCTGTTAGTCCAACTTGGACAGGGGTACTGCAAGCTGGCGCAGAGCTGTTACTGGATTAGGAGCTGGAAGGGCCCACAGGCCTGCTTTCTCTCCGACTATTATCGTATATGTAGGTGTGCAAGTTCTCACAAGAGGGTACTCACAAACTAACTGCAGGTGCAGGGAAGGTTATATAGCCATTTAACTCACCGTAAAGCAGCAGTAGGGAAACTATGGATGATCTCTTGCAGTGGAGCCTTGTGGCGATGGTTGAGGCCTTGCATAGAAGACAGGAAAGGCTTCAAACATGCGCACAATATTGAAAGCGGTATGGCACATGTGCAGTAAAGTGACAAAATAATGGAGTCATGCAGGTTCTGAAAGCCTGACGTGAGTGATACAATGCAAAAGTGGCATTTCTGCCAAGGGCCTTTGAAAATGGGGAGTTGCAGACAGGGTTGTAAACATCAGCCAGAGAACAGTAAGGCAAACAGCAGGCTTCAGACTTACTGCTGCATTGGTCCAAAAGGCACCCTGCAGACCACCAAAGCAGTTTATGATATAAAAGTGCCAATAGAGGACCCAGGGAACAAGCCCCATCCAGACAGTCTTCACCCCTCTGAAGGGCACACTCAATAGGAAGTCTTCAGGAACAGAGGCCAGCAGGTTTACTGAGGGTAAGGACTTGTAAACCACTCTGCAGCCGACTCACAAATAATTGTGTCTGGTGTCTGGAAATTACCCTAAGCAGAGCCCAGTGCCCTAGGGTCACATTAAGAGCTGGCCCTGCATCTTTAGCATCATGGGGTTTGGGTACAGCCTCGAAAGATCAGTCGGGAAAACTGCATAAAGGAGTCATTGTGGCTCGGCCATTCAAAAGGACCAGAGCCCGCCAACCCAGAAGGAAGACCGGGTGAAGATGGAAGCCTGGTTAGTAGTGACAGCGCACCACTAAGTTTCACATAATGTGCTAGTATGCAATGCATACAAAAGAGATGGCTACAGATAAACAGGTACAACTTACAGCATGTAAAATAAGTATTGAACGCGTCACCATTTTTCTAAGTAAATATATTTCTAAAAGGTGCTATTGGCATAGGATGGGGAGTTGCAGCATGTTCACCACATGTCGGTAACAACCCATACAATACATACAAAGAAACCAAAACAAATAAGTTCAGAAATTAATTTATGTGTAATAAAAAAGGAATGTCACAGGGAAAAAGTATTGAACACATGAAGAAAGGGAGGTGCAAAAAGGCATGGAAAGCCAAGACACCAGCTTAAATCTATCAGTAATTAGAAAGGAATCCTACCCCTCGTCAGTGCAAATTATTATCAGCTGGTTCAGTCTCAACTGATGGCCTATAAAAAGTTTTTTTCATTACCAAGGAGTCACACAAGAAACATCTCATGATGGATAAAAAGCAAAGAGCTCTCTCAAGACCTTTGCAACTTTATTGTTGCAAAACACACTGATGGCATTGGTTACAGAAGGTTTCTAAACTTCTGAACGTTCCAGTGAGCACTGTTGGGGCCATAGTCTGGAAGCTCAAAGAACATCATTTCACCATAAACCTGCCACGACCAGATTTCTGACAGAGGAATGAAAAGAGAAAAAAAATTCAGAAGAGTTGTCCAGGAGCCAAGGACCAATTGTGGAGATCTTCAGACCTGGAATTAGCAGGTACACTTGTTTCAAAGAAAACATTAAATAATGCACTCAACCACCATGACCTGTATGCATGCTCACCACGCAAGACTCGATTGCTGAAGAAAAAGCATGTTGAATCTTGTTTAAAGTTTGCTGCACAACAGTTAAGACAAGCCTGTGAAATACTGAAAGAATATAGTCTGGTCAGATGAGACCAAAATTGAACTCTTTGGATGGCATAATACACACCATGTTCGGAGGTCAAATGGCACTGCATACAGTGAGGAACAGAAGTATTTGAACACCCTGCGATTTTGAAAGTTCTCCCACTTAGAAATTATGGAGGGGTCTGAAATTGACATTGTAGGTGCATTCCCACTCAGAGACAGAATTTAAAAAAAAAAAAAAAAAAAAAAAAATTCAGAAAATCACATTGTATGATTTTTAAAGAATTTATTTGTCTTGCACTGCTGAACATAAGTATTTGAACACCTGAGAAAATCAGTATTAATATTTGGTACAGAAGCCTTTGTTTGCAATTACAGGGGTCAAACATTTCCTGTAGTTCTTGACCAGGTTTGCACACACTGCAACAGGGATTTTGGCCCACTCCTCCACACAGATCTCCTCTAGATCTGTCAGGTTTCGGGGCTGTCACTGAACAACACGGAGTTTCAGCTCCCTCCAAAGATGTTCTATTGGATTTAGGTCTGGAGACTGGCTAGGCCACTCCAGAACCTTGATATGCTTCTTACGGAGCCACTCCTTGGTTATCCTGGCTGTGTGCTTCGGGTCGTTGTCATGTTGGAAGACCCAGCCACGACCCATCTTCAATGCTCTGACTGAGGGAAGGAGGTTGTTGCTCAAAATCTCACAATAAATGGCCCCATTCATCCTCTCCTTAATACAGTGCAGTCGTCCAGTCCCCTTCGCAGAAAATCACCCCCAAAGCATGATGTTACCACCCCCATGCTTC